AGCCGCTGCTTGTTCTCTTGGTCAAAGCAGTTGGATTGTGAATGGCTGTTTTAAACATTAATACCAAATGAGTATCTGGAAAACTAAAGTAGACACAGATTCTATGTCCAGCTCATAATGTGCCATAGCCTCGAAACTAAGTATAGGATAATTAACTTCATAATTAAAGATTGTGTACAGAATTCTTCCACAGTCTCTCCGGAGCAGGGTCAGTGACCAGAGCATGTGAAGAGAGGAAGCAAAACCAAGTGCCATAAGTGACCCTTCTAATATATCACTTTCTTTCCTTTTCAGGGGGTGTCTTCCAACCTTTTCTTTATAGAACATAACTTTCCTGAACAGGAGATCCAAGAAGGCAAAAGCCATCAGAACCAACATGAAGCTCATTTTGTGGTGGAGCTGTGCAAGTATTTCCTGTGCCAGGAGTACCTGCCCTCCCAGATCACCATCCTCACTACCTACACTGGACAGCTCTTCTGCCTGCGGAAACTCATGCCAGCCAAGACGTTTGCTGGCGTCAAGGTCCATGTTGTAGACAAATACCAAGGAGAAGAGAATGACATCATCCTCCTCTCACTTGTGCGGAGCAACCAAGAAGGCAAGGTGGGTTTTCTTCAGATCTCCAACCGTATCTGTGTGGCCTTGTCCCGAGCCAAGAAGGGGATGTACTGCATTGGAAACATGCAGATGTTGGCCAAAGTACCCTTATGGAGCAGGATCATCCACACCCTTCGAGAGAACAGTCAAATAGGCCAGACCCTTCAGCTCTGCTGCCAAAACCACCCTGAAACCCACACCTTAGTATCCAAAGCTTCAGACTTCCAAAAAGTGCCCGAAGGAGGCTGCAGCCTGCCGTGTGAGTTCCGCCTGGGCTGTGGACATGTCTGCACCCGTGCCTGCCACCCCTACGACTCTCTACATAAAGAGTTCCAGTGCATGAAGCCATGTCAGAAGGTCATCTGCCCAGATGGACACCGGTGCCCCCTTGTTTGCTTCCAGGAGTGTGAGCCCTGTCAGGTGAAGGTACCCAAAACCATTCCACAGTGTGGCCACAAGCAGATGGTTCCTTGCTCAATGCCTGAGTCAGATTTCTGCTGTCAGGAGCCTTGCCCCAAGATCTTAAGATGTGGCCACAGATGCAGCCACCCATGTGGTGAGGGCTGTGTGCAGTTGTGTCCAGAAATGGTCACTGTAAAACTCAAATGTGGGCACAACCAACAGGTGAAGTGTGGTAATGTGGAAGACCTCAAGTATGATATGCCAGTCGAATGTACTACCAAATGTGGTACCATCTTGGACTGTGGGCATCCGTGCCCCGGCTCCTGCCACAGCTGTTTTGAAGGGCGCTTCCACGTGCGTTGCGAGCAGCCGTGCAAACGCCTGCTCATCTGCTCACACAAGTGCCAGGAGCCATGCATCGGTGAATGCCCACCCTGCCAGCGGACGTGTCAGAACCGTTGTGTTCACAGCCAGTGCAAGAAGAAGTGTGGGGAACTGTGCAGCCCCTGCGTGGAGCCCTGTGTCTGGCGCTGCCAGCACTACCAGTGCACTAAGCTCTGCTCTGAGCCCTGTGACCGACCCCCATGCTATGTGCCTTGTACTAAGCTGCTGGCTTGCGGCCACCCCTGTATTGGTTTGTGTGGAGAGCCATGCCCCAAAAAGTGCCGTGTTTGCCACCAGGATGAGGTCACCCAAATCTTCTTTGGCTTTGAGGATGAGCATGATGCCCGCTTTGTGCAGCTAGAAGACTGTAGCCACTTCTTTGAGGTACAAGCCCTAGACCGCTACATGAATGAGCAGAAAGATGATGAAATCGCCATCAGGTTGAAGGTCTGCCCTATCTGCCAGGTACCCATCCGCAAAAATCTGAGATACGGAGCCAGCATCAAACAGCGGCTCGAAGAGATTGAAATTGTCAAGGAAAAGATCCAGGGCTCAGCAGGGGAAATTGCAGTCAGCCAGGAACGACTTAAGGTCCTGCTGGAGAGTAAGAGCCTCCTCCACCAGCTGCTTCCTGAAGACTCTATAATGCTAAAGGAAAAACTGGCCCAGGAAAACCTGTCAGTGAAGGAGCTAGGCCTTGTTGAAAATTACATCACCTTCTATGACCACTTGGCTAGTCTGCAGAATTCCCTGAAAAAGGTACATGTCTTAGAACAAAATAGAGTAAGGACTCGACTAGACCAGGTCCATGACTGGCTGGCCAAGAAACGCTTGAGCTTTACCAGCCAGGAACTGAGTGACCTCCAAAGTGAAACCCAGAGGCTTATGTACCTGGTAAACCTCCTGACCCGCTGCAAGATGGCAGAGGGGAGGGTGAAGGGTAGCGTAGCAGAAGAGGTCTCCAGTATTCGGAACATCCTTGAGAGAACGTGTAAATTCACTCAGGAAGATGAACAGCTTGTGCGGAAAAAGATGGATGCTCTGAAAGCCACCCTGCCCTGCTCTGGCCTGGGCATCTCAGAGGAAGAGCGAGTACAGATTGTCAGTGCCATGGGTTTTCCTCGTGGTCACTGGTTCAAGTGCCCTAATGGTCACATCTATGTGATTAGCGAATGCGGGGGAGCCATGCAGAGGGGCACCTGTCCTGAGTGTCAGGAGGTAATTGGCGGCGAGCATCATACTCTGGAAAGGAGCAACCAGCTGGCTTCTGAGATGGATGGAGCCCAGCATCCTGCCTGGTCTGACACAGCCAACAACATGATGAACTTTGAGGAGATCCGAAGGATGATGTAGGGGATGGCACACTGCTGCCTTTTGCCCCAGCCACGAGCTGGGGTGGCTCCCTTATGAAGGAACCTTTTTTATAACTGTCCTTTAGTCTTACCATCTATTTAAGAATCTACTTTTAGGGCTTACCCACATTTGATTTTAGATTTACCCCTGCGCTAGAATAAGCACTTTACCTCCAGAACTGAAACCAGAATTAACAGGTTCACTTCTTTTCCTTTCCAGTTAGGGAACAGACTCCCTGGAGCATACTTGGGGCTTCCACCTAGGGCTACGTAGTGGTAACTCCAGGTCCTGACATGGTCAGGTGTTTCTTCTGCAGTGTTCCCAAGGCTGAAAGTATGAATCAGTGAAGCTAACGCTTAACTTCCAGGCCCTAACTTGCAGGCTAACTTTCTAATAACAGAGGCCCAGAGTTCATGAACTGCTTATCCCTTCAAGGAGCACAAGAATCCCTTCTGCCCTGCTCCTCAGGCACCCAGCCTCCGGGAGATGGAGGCATGTGTGACAGACAAAGACTTTGTCACTCACTCTGACCCAGCTTCATACTCACGGAATTGGAACGTATCCTCTCCTAAGGGGCTTATGCAGTAGGCCTAGGTTAAGGAGTGAATGACTCCTGTAGCCTTTGTGACTTGCACTTGGACAGGGTTTTTTTCCTTGCCCTGGGAGAGGTTGGGTAGCAGGGCTGGTTCCCCCTGGGCCTTGAATGGAGTTGAATTCCCATTCAGTGCCAGCAGCACCTCTCCCAAGTGTGAGCTTCATTCCAGGCACCCTCTCACAGCTTTTGTTGCCTAGGCAGGGTTAGCATGCCAGCAGCTTCTGCAGGCCTCTCAGCCCCTGGGCAGAAGCCAGCCCTAGGCCTACACCTTGCATCCGCATTCCTTCTGTCCAGTGTCCTTTAGAACACACACTTAGGCATCTCAGGTCCTTTCTAATGCTGGTCCTTTCCTATGTAAGCATTTCCTTTTTTGTCTTTACTATGCACTTTAGCCTATAAAGCCAGTTAATAAAAACAATGATTGAGAAAATCAGTGGTCCATGTCTTTGTTTTAGAGTGGCCGAAGACAATTAGGGGACAGGGTAGGTGTGGTCTACAATGCTTTTATGGCTTGGGATTTTTATATTTGTTTAGGTTGGATCCTTTCCATCCATGGTGAAAATGTTTCATCCAGAGGTAACTGTTTGCTTTGTGAATCCTCCCAGAGATAATTATGCATAAGCAATTTTTATCCTTTTTTAAAAGGGTTCTGCACTTTGTTGAGACAGGATCTTGCTATGTAGTTCACAATGTCCTCAAACTCAGCAGTCTCCTGCCTCAGCCTCTTAAGTGCTGAGATTACAGGCACATACCCTTTTTAGCTTAATGTCCTGTAAAGCATGTACAGATGTGAGTCTGAAGCATATTCCTTCATGAGTGTCATCACTTTTTGAATCGCACCATGTTGGTAATTGCTAGGAGGCTTTTTTTTTTGGTTTTTTGAGACAGTCTTGTTACGTAGTCCAGGCTGGCCCCAAACCTGCCGTGATCCTTCTGCTCAGCCCCCCAAGTGCTGGGATTACAGGCGTGTGCCACCATACCTATAGCATTTTTAAGATGGGAGGATTAATATACTCCCTGAAATTATACAGGACATGAATCAGTTATCCCAAAGGATGCCCAAAGCTTTCATCCAATTCTCAAAGGGGCCTGTGATTCAAAAAAGAATGAGAACCATCCTGTAGCATAAAAGCTGGTTTCTATGAGGAGCTAATTTATAGGGTCAGCTCTTTCTGCCCCTTTCAGCTTCCATCTCCAGCAGCCCTCACAGCACAGTGGTAAGGGTTAGAGTATGGGTTCGGGTACGTGGGTTTCAAAAGCCCGAATCACCAGCTGTGCAACCCTAGGAAGTCAGTCTCTCCAAGCATCTGTTTCTTCACAGGCAACGTAGAGTAACCATTCCTGTCCCACAGGCATGCGGTGAATGGAATCACACAGCACAGCATGCGGCTGTTGCTCAGCTAAGTGATACCTTTAGTTCTGGACTATCAACAGAAGGGCGTTTCCCTAGCAGGAATTTCCTCACTCTACACCCAACCCCTGCACCCGCATCAACAGTATGCGTGCCAAGAGTTCAAGACTGACTGGGGTACTCTGCCACTAAAGGAAGAAATGCTACTCTGACTTACTCCCCCAGCCAACTAGCTTTCTTCCGCTTGCTGCTCCTGTTCTGTGAACGCTAACCAGGACAGGAGTCTCAGCTAATAATGCTTAGGAAACAGATGCACACCACTGCCCCAACTTTTTATTTTTTTAATGCGCAAACGACGCTTTTTAAACTTTTTTTTTTTTTAAATGAAGACAATATAAACCAAACCAGGATGACTTCCCACAGGGAAGGGATTGTATCACAAATGTCTTCAGGCCATCACAGCTACTTCCTCCTCTTGTATCTGTTAAGGAAAAGTCGGGAGAGTAAGACAAAGAGGAAGGAGCAGCTCTTTCTGTATAAAAGGTTCTTCTCCATCGCCAAAGTCACAACCTCCAGCCTTCCCAAACTCTACACATCACCTGGACTTGGATTTGAAGTTTCCTCCTCTTCTCTGGTGGGGCAGACCCAACTGTTTCCTTTCTTCAAAGGAAGGGCTGAGTGAGAGAAGAGGAGTTACTGAAACAGGTCAGCCACTGGACATACGAGTGATGTCACCCCAGCCCCGACCCCAGCTCCACCAGAGCAGCACCCCTGCACACATGGTGTTCAGGGCCCGGGTTCTAAGTCATGTGTTTCCGACTGACAATGTGCATTTCTGGAAATCAAGCCCCAACGTTAAAACAAGCTTGGAGGAAGCCCTTCCTTCACCTGTACATCCTAAGATTACCTGGGAGTTACTGTGTGTGTTCCCATCTTAGCCCTGGGATGGAAGAATGTGGCAGGGAAACATTCTGAAGGGCAAGCTAGGATTTTTTAGGTGATTTTTAGGTCTGATCCTGAAAGGGTCAGGAGTTGTTACTCCTCTCCTGAGAGAAAGTTCTCTCAACTTGATTTTTTTTTTTCCGGTACCAGGAATCAACTCACAACCTCACGCTTGCCAGGCAGGCACTGTGCCGCTGAGCTGAATCCCCAGCCCCCTATTTCCCAACTTTAAAATGGGCCATCTCACCTCCAAGGCAGGAGGGCTGTAAAACTGCAGAGCAGTGGCACCTTAACCCCTCTCCCTCTTTTCACTCTAGGATCCACAGATGAGCTTCAGCAATATGGGGAATAGAGAGGCATCCCTGAGTTTATGTATTATAAAGCTTAAGTTTTGTGTGTGGTTTTTTGTTTTTTGTTGTTTTTTTTTTGTCTTTTTTCAGAAAGGGTTTCACTACACAGTTCAGGCTGGCCTTTAAATCACTTTGTAGCCGAGGCTGGCCTTGAACTTGCAGCAGTCCTCCTGCCTCAGCCTCTCAAGTATTGGGATTACAGGCGTGCGCCACCACGCCTGGCTGAAGCTTAAGTATTTGAGAAGTGGGAGTAGGAAAGGAAGTGAAACATTTATAGTTTCCACAGAAATACCAAGGACCCCATGACCACTTAAAACCCTACCCAGCTCGATACTGTTTCAGGGCCTTCTTGCTCGTGTTGGTGAGTTCTTCATCAAATACAGATTTCTTCCTCTGACTTTGCTTCTTGGCTGTGAACAGACAGAATGGGTTAGTAGGGTCCTCTCTGGTCCAAGCTCCTAAAGCAGTTAAAACTCCAGGTAACAATTCCAAGTTCAGTGGACACCCTGGCCCCCAAAGACCATTCACTTCATTCTACCCTCACAGGCTCCTGTAAGTCAGAGCCAGGAAATACTTGGGCTCCAAAGTCAGAAAGGTCAGGGTTCAATGCAAGCTCTTCCCACCAGTGACTGGGTCACTCGATCCCTTAAAGCTAATAAAGGGACAGCTGTATACTCTGGTATATGCCAATTACTCAAAAAATGTGGCCAATGTTATTATCCCTCAAACCTTCTCCCTGACTGTAAGGTTGGCTTCCGGCAGGGCTCCCCAACCACTTACCAGGGCCTTTCGCCGGTTCCTCCTCAGGCATTGCCCTGGCCCGCTTCGCTCTGCGATTCCTCTTGGCCAGCCGCTCAGCAAACATCTGTGCCTTGAGGATTTCAAACTGGGACCTTTCCTCTGCCTGGGGGAAAGGTGAGGGGTGACCAGATGGCTCTGACCCACCCACTCCGTGTGATCAAGCTCCAATGGGGAGGCCACTCACTGTCATCTCTCCCTTTTTCTTGGCGTCCTTCATGAACTTCTTCCTTTTCTTTTTTCCTCGTAAGGCCAAGTCAAACTCCTGCAGAGCCTTAGCAACTGGGATGCGAGAACAGCACGAGATTTCAGGGGACCACTTTAAATCTTTTTTTAAATTTACAATCAGAGGGACAACTATTTTAAACTGGTATGTAACAACTTTTTTTTTTTTTTTTTTT